CTGGCTGGCTGAAAGCAGATTTCTGGGGTTTGTTTAGCTTCTATAATTGCAACATTGTTTCTTAGAGTGCAGCTCAGAGGCTGGCAGCGGCAGGTGGGGAACCTTGGCTTCCTCCATCACTGGAGCAAGCAAGCCTCCTGTTCGCTTCAGCTGTCTGGCTGCCGGCCGCCATCTTGGTTGGCAGTTAATTTGCATATCACCCTGATTAGCCAATGGGAAGCGTGTCGGAGGTATGGTTAATTACCATGTTTGTCTATTATTAGATAGGATGTTATTTTTTAGAGAGAGAGGAACTAAGAGGGATAGATAGAAACATCAATGAGAGAAACAGCATCGATCAATCAGCTGCCTCCTGCATGCCTCCCACTAAGGATTGAGCCCACAACCTGGGCATGAGCCCTGACAGGAATCAACTGATGGCCTCTTGGTTCATGGGTCCACGCTCAACTACTGAGCGACACAGGCTAGGCTAGATTCATTTTTTACATGTGGGTGTCCAGTTGTTCCAGCACATTGTTTTCATATGTTTATTGCCCAGTTGCATTTACTCTTCAGTTTGCCTTTCAAATTCTGGATTGATCATCTTTTTCTTATTGGCTTCTAAGAGTTCTTTGTATATTAGGAAATTCCCATTGTCTCCCCAACATCCTACAATGTGAATCCCATCCTTAAAACAAAACAAAAAAACAGATAAGAAAAATAACGAAACAAAAAAAGCTTTTTAAAAAGTTACAAATACAAGAGCAACAACAGAAGTAAATATAAAGTTCCATAGACTGAATAGAGAAGGACATGATTGACTTTTTAGATGAAAGCTCCCTGGGAAGATGCAGTAGGTTGAATGGCCCCCAAAGATACCCACATCCTGATCTCTGGAATGTGTCAATGCTACCTCATATTGAAAAAGGAACTTAGCATATGATTAAGGTTTTGAGATGGGGAGGTTTGCCTGGCTTATCAGGATAGGCCCTAAATGTAATCACAAGTGTTCATAAAAGAGAGAGGCAGAAGGAGATTTGACTACAGAAGAGAAATGTAACCACAAAAGCAAGAGGCTGGAGTGATGCCAAGTAATGCAGACCTTAAAAACAGAGGGTAGTCCACAGTTGCCACTAGACGTGGCCATACTTCAGATTCCGGGTAAGGCAGCCAGCTCAGCCTGCCCACTTTCCTCACCAGGAATCTCCAGGCTGCCACGTCTGGGAATCCTAATGCTGGCACCAGGCATGGGACCAAAGAGAATCTTTCTTTTCCAGTTCAAGGCCTGCTTATTTCTACTCTAGAGTATCCGACTGAGAGGCTATCTTTTCCTTAGGGGGGAAAACTCATCTTCACTTTGGCCTGCTTGATGCAATCCCAGGAGTTACTGGTACTTTCCAGACTTAGGATAATTTGGCTTTTATGTAACACCACTTTGTGAGATACCAGTGATTCAAGCCAGGCTGTGGATTTACGTGAGGAGTGAAGATAAGATTGGCAATCACTCTTGAGGGTGGCTCCAGTTTTGTGAACACCTGTGAGCAAATACTTGGATAAAAACATACATAGGTTTTCCTAAAAACAAGGATTTTAAGAAACATTCCAGTCTATATTCTCATTTTAAGGGAAAGAAATGATCTCTCTTTTCCTTCAAGGGCACATTCCTGCGAAAGACGTAATTTATATTACTAATACATAAATTAACTCCAGCAACTCAGTCTGAAACATCTGAATTTTGGTTGATGGTCATTTCACAATTATCTTTAGGATAAAAGTGACTATTTCTTTCATGTATGTCTAGACAGCCCATTCTGGTGATATCCTTAAGAAAAGGAAGACTGCTTCAAAATGAATTTATGTCTTGCCTTCTAGAAATACAAAACAGCAACTGATTTTTTTAAAAGTTTCATTTATTGATGAAAACATAAAGTGTAGTATGGCTTAGTCCAGAAGTTCAGAGATAGACTCT